ATGTATAATACATTAAATGTCATTGTTAAAGTTAATATTACTTTCCTTTTGGATGCTCGGTATAGTCTCTAATTGTATAGAACCAGTTATGCAGCAGAAAAGATTTTACATGGGACTTGAACATTCGTATCGAATTTAATCGTTTAATGTCATCTGGCACGGTGTAAAATAATGTACATGTATCATAAGTGAATTTTTGTAGTGGATAATAAAATAAATATTCTCTTACGTTCCGTTTCAAATGCCTTCTAACTTTAAAACAAGATCCACAGCAATTTCGGTGCAGTCATGCCCCCGTCATCATGCCGCTGTCCGCGGACAGTATCGTTCACTTTGTATCGATGCTTGAAACGTTGACGATTGTTTGGCTTGCAAGCGTCTGGGTTTTCCTGAGTAGTTCTTCTTTTAACTGAATGGCGTTTCACGTTGTTCGAGATACGTGTCTAGCATGCGAATGATACACAAGTACGTAAAAGTGGAACAATAGATAACATACGACTTCAAGTCATTGTATTCGGAGAAGTATTGGTTTTTTAATACTACTGTTTGTACATGGTAGAAACGATTAGAATCGCCCTTTGGCTCGCCGAAGTTCCAATGAACTAAATTAATGTAGAGATGATGTTTTGATAATTTTCTGACGCGATTTGATAAACGTGATTGGAGAGGGTTCTGCGATAAAATATAGATCATGGCCAAATACTTCATGAGGGTATAAAAGAACCCCTGTTTATACAAGCAATCACGCTCCGTGAGAAGAGTCCGTGAGAAGTTCTTCAGGTGAGTACGATGGCTTTTTCCAGGAATTGAAGCAAAATCATTACATTATTCCCATTTTTAATAGTTAACATATTCCTTAAAACTGTTTTGGTCATTTATGAATCCATAAACGTCACTTAGACTTTCCTCCATATTATATTTCATGTTTTGACAAATACCTAAATCACCGGGTTCTGAAGAGGGAAGCTAAATTTTATTACCTGGCAATTTACATACATACGAATGTGTTCTTTGAATGGTGAAGGACAGAACGGGCTGTTCAATGAACTCATCATTAACTTCATCAACCTTATCTGAAAGTTTGATGCTGGGGAATGATTTTCTGCATCTAATATATACTCGCTCGTGCACGAAAATAATTTTTTTAAATTCCAAAATGTGAAGAACATTCCTCAGAATGCTTATGGAATTAAATATACTTAGAAGTCTGTCAGCATTTGAGGAATTCTAAGTTGAAACACAAGGATGTGGTGTAGATACACAGTATCAATTTAATGGATAAAGGGTGGCTCAATGTACTATATTACTAATTTTCTATGCGCTCAAAAATTGAAAAAGAAAGCGTCTACAGTAGATAGAACTTTATACAATACGAACGGTGAATTTTCGGCAGAAAAGCTCTTATTACCGGGCCCTGGTATTGCCTAATCGATCTGTCTGATGTCGCGGACCCTTGCATTTCAAACTGACATTTTAATTTTTTTTGGGGGGGGGGAGTACTTTACATGAAGCCCCTGGGACATTTTCCAATTTTAAAAAAAAATTGCTCCAACGTTTATTTAAAATTGTTGTTAGATAGTGTGTAGGACGTTTAAGAGTATGGTGCAGGTCTAATGCTCCTCAAAAATCTTAATTTATGAAAATTGAAAATGTTCAAATTTATGTGGAGTGTCCCTACAACTAAAATATTAAAGATAGAGATTTTTTAAAATGAAATCTGGTCCTTAAAGATAGCTTTTGAAATAAGGCCATGTACAATTTTTCGAAAATATGAGTACTTTTCGCGTAATTTTGCGTGAAAGTACAAGTGAGAAAATACGTGCTGTTTGAGCAACACTAGTTTCGTGTTGCGAAATGGAAAATTAACATTTTTGATATTGTAGTCATGTTGTAATTAATAGATACTATACTATGTTATTGGGTAGTTCTGAAAACCGTGTTATTTAAATATTTAATCCACTGCAGTGTTATTGGAATGTATTTTATTTTTTGTTCTTGAACACAGTGCGTGTTACGTTTTGTTAAACCATTAAGGCTCCTACAGACCGCCGCGGTGTGTGTGTACTCGTATATGTATAGGTGAGCCACGTAACTTTAGTACCTCTTGTAAGTTTTCAACGGTTGAAGTTATTGCAATGTATTTTTCATGGGAGTGCATGACGGAATGGGACTAATTGATGTAAGTATTCATTTCCATTTTATAACTCGTATTTTACGAGATATTGAGGCAAATGTTTTTTCAAATGGAACTAAACATATTTTTTTTAGACTTTCATGACGAGCGTAAAAAGACGAATCCGATCAAATACATATTTCACATGTTAGATAATTATTTTATTGAGTAATTTTGAGTTTTTTTGTGAGTCATATTGAACGGATATTTTTAACGTTAATGCCCACCACCCAAGATCACGGAGTGTTGTCACAGCAAACGCACTCTAGGGGCGTTACAATATCGGTTAAATACGAACATCGTTTCGAGCTTAATTTTACTTCAGGGTGGCAGGATCTTTCGGGTGAGAAAGGATACTAAAGATAGGAATATCAAATAAACTTCGCACATATTCTGCTATTCAATATAATACTCAGAATTTAAAGAAATATGGCACAAAAGAAAAATGAAACGCAATCTGATTTGTTCGATTTGCGAACCTCACTCATGAGTTCTAACTCATAAAATCAGCAATGTTTTTAAGAAACATTAAGAAATTCCTTTGAAAATGAATTGCTTCAATTCAAATTAACTCTGTAATAAAAGTACCGTGCACGATTCGAACCTCAATAAACGAAATTATGTAAACATTTGCTCTTATCACCTATGAAATGGTAACATTTCAAAGTCAAATTCTCTAACCAAATTATACACTCAAATTCAAATACATAACTTAATTACACTGCTTTAATTTGTCATACAAATAAATTGCTTGGCAAAACACAATTAAATAAATAGTTATTTAATTACACTTTCCAAATTGGATTTTAACTCAAGTTCCAAAAGCAATGTACTGCGAAATTTACAAGGCTTTCCCCGTCCCGTCCTATTACGTAAAGTACACCGTTTTATTCTGTCGCTTCCTACTTTAGTTAATGCAAATTTCACTGGAACGACCACTGCTCAAAACGATTCTAAGCTGTCACATGCCTAACATTTGACTTTCCCTTCACTACGCAAGTTCCACTATAATCTGTTAATAAGATGGCGACCTCGTGCCTGAACACTATACGCTCATAGTTTACGACAGACGAAAATCTTACGCTTGGCAATCTAACCAAGAAGTGCTTTTGCGTCATTTGCCCGGCGCATTTATGGGACGAGCCTTCCGTGGAGGGGTGGTATCGCGTCATGCCCCTTCAGGACTGACCCCTTGCGTTCATCGTGAGCAGCAGGCGCAGCGCTGCGGTCAAGAAACACCAGATCGCGTTCTATCCGGACCGACCACAGCGGTAAGCCCTGTTCCCCGTGACGCGTCTATAGATGCCGCAGTTGCGTAGGCGGCTGGGGCGTTTGGTAAATGGACCAAACACACACACACACACACACACACACACACACAACACACACACACATATATATATATATATATATATATATATATATATATATATATATATATATATATATATATATATAGAGGCGTTACAATATCGGTTAAATACGAAACATCGTTTCGAGCTTAATTTTACTTTAGGGTGGCCAGGATCTTTCGGGTGAGAAAGGATACTAAAGATAGGAATATCAAATAAACTATATATATATATATATATATATATATATACTATATATATATATATATATATATAGGGAGAGAGAGAGCATTATATATCCGTTGAAACCTTTCATTACGAAAATATACAACATTTCAAGAACAAAATATGTCAAAAATCTAAGTTTAATGTTATTGAAAATTAATTAAATTACTGAACACAATTATATGTATTCTCTGGCCGTTAAGTCGTGTCAGATTCACTAACAGTGGAATTCACAGAAAATATTCGACATCTGACGAGTCTTTACCTTGGATTCCACAGCAAAACTCGAGCGACAGCGGAAAACACGCGCGAAACAAAATCCGCTGCGGATTCAACGCTGCCAATCCGCTGCCGCGATGCTCGCCAGCCGCGCAGGTCTGAACGTGCTCATAAGCCTACACGTGACGCGAAACGTCCGCTGAGGACATTCCGGAGGGGCTGCGGATATTTCGCATCGGTCTGCGGGGGCTTTTATCGTAGTTTCAGCAGCATTTTTGCTTTCGCGGCCAAAAATCCTCATTTTAATTTTGCAGAGTTTTAGTCATTTCCATCAGCAATTAAAAGGATATACACAATTGTTGACACAGTAACAATGTAATTTTTTGGCTGACATTTACTGTTTGGATTATGTTTTAGTTATAATAGCCAACTCAACATGGTGTAAAGTCCTGGTTAAATCAACATTACGAAGTTACGACTGACTTACATATCAAATGACTCCCAAATTGTACGTGGAGAAACAAATCCTCTTACAAATTAAATCCGATTCTCCCAGCGACAGTCTTTGATTAATTGAACTGTCTGGAAGTGTCGTTTATGGACAATTTTAGTTTTTCTGAGTCTCGAATACCAGCTATCTAGGCCTTCCCAATTTCAGTGTAACTGGGGGTACGGTTATATCACAATATTTGTCACAATTCCATATAACAATAATGGTAATAATAATATTAATAATAATATTATTAATAATATTAATAATAATAAATAATAATAATAATAATAATAATAATAATAATAATAATAATAATAATAAGAAGAAGAAGAAGAAGCAGAAGGAGAAGAGGAAATGTGTTTGTTCGTAGGGGAAAATAATCTTATTGCCCTATTACTATGAACTTCCCCACTGTTAGACGGGTGCGGAACGCGGAAGCTGAGGGCGGTGCTTTCGCTTGAGCATTGGGCGTGTGTGGAGGGTGCGTGCCGCGAGGGCGATCGAGCGTGTGTGTGTGTCCTTGCGCAGGAGCCGCAGGATGATCCGCTACCTGCTGCTGCTGGCGCTGGCCGGCGCCGCGTGCGCCGAGAAGGCTCGCTTCGACAACTACCGCGTGCACAGCGTGCTGCCGGAGAGCGACCACCACCTGCGCTTCCTCAGGGAGCTGGAGGAGAACAATGACGTAAGGACATCTTCCTAATTTCAGTTTGAAGGGTTTTCATGGACACTAACAGGTACATTTCTTGCAATTAAACATTCTTACATTTCTTTACATTCGTGACGTAAATGTGCAACATGATTCCTAGCCCATCGCGATCGTTTCGTTTGTTCACATTTTCGCAATCTATTGAGAAAATGTTGAGATGGTCCATTTTCTCATTTTTGGATGCTCATATGGTAAATTAACTCCTCCCCTTCCATATATCACATTTTTACTGTTTTATATTTAACTTTCAATAAACTAATACAAATGTGGTAAATTAAATTGATAGATAAAACTGTGTTTGAAATGGGACCACTAGAGTTTTAAAAGGATTTCGTCTTCTCCTGAAATGTATTTTACAATATTGATGTTTATTTTTGTATTAAATAACACATAATGTGAAAATTATTGACTTTTACTACAATTTAATTCTAAACTTGACAGATTATTTGGACATATGATATGAAATGAAAATATATACTTTTTGAAATAGTTTGCTTCGATAATGAAATCACAGATTTTATTTTATAATTTTGATGACAAAACAACACCCCCAAGACCTACTTTTTCCGGAACTAGCTTACGGGTGTCTCGGAATAAATGTTAGAACATTTTAAAGCATGAGGTCAAACATGATAACTTTTTACAAATTTACTGGTGAGAGGGAAAATCAACCAGCAAACGCAGAAGAACTTTTGTCTGAATGGTAGTGTACTGGTACATGGCAGGTAGACGTTCTGACGCAATGAGTTTTTGTGTTCCAGTCGAACACCAACGCAAGATGAATTGTTGCGGCAAATGTCACATGTTTAACGTCAGGAGAAAATATCAAATGTCTGTCTTCTTTAATTTTAAGATTTCTCACCAAATGTTCATTGGCAAAATGTGATAATCTTTGATTCCATTAATAGCCATCGGAGTTTGCAACATTTATTTTGTCAATCCTAATAGTTAATTATATTAAAGCAGTTCAAACAAAAAACATGTATTATTCCATTTTCCAACAGTTTCTCTTCTGGAACGATGTTCGTGCCGTGAATGCGTCTGTCCACATCATGGTACCTCCACACAAGACTGCACAATTCCAAGAAATAGTCGATTTTGTGGGTCTTAAGAGCGAGATTTACATCAACGACGTGCAAAAGTGAGTGAAAAGTAAAAATATTTTACAGATGATCATTAAGAGAGAAATGACAAAAAATATACATTTCACTTTTCTGCAGATTGATTGATGCTGAAAATAACAACCCGGCTGCAAGATCTGGTATCTTTGGCTGGAATGCGTATTACCGTTTGAATGATGTAAGTATTTCAAGCTTTTTCTCATAAAATACATTCGACCGCCCACTACTAAAATTGTTTTGTTTTCTTAGATCTATAATTGGCTGGACTCTCTGGAAGCTCAGTACCCAGGAGTCGTAAGCGTTGTTGTGGGAGGTACTACTTATGAAGGACGTGAAATCAGAGGAGTGAAGGTTTCATACAAGGCTGGAAATCCTGGTGTTTTCGTTGAAGGAGGTGAGCACTTTGAGTACTAAAAAATGTTAAGGACGACAAGAACGTTGGTGCGTTTTTGGTCGTTTATCAAATTTTTCGATTATTTATTATTGTTTATTTTAAATTGGACTTTGAAGACCAGTTTATCTGAGTAGAGTATGTTGTAGAAGTCGCTGACTCCTAGCTCTTTCTAATCTTGCGACAATGAGCTAAGGTTTAAGAAAAATATGACATTCAAAAACCATTTTGATCTTAATGCAAGTTTAAATATATTCGTAGTGAAGGAAAAATTCTCTAACTTATAGAAAATTGCATCATCCAGTCGAGTGATTTCCAGACTCCTCCCTCAAGTCATTGAAGATAAACATTAGAAAATCCCCTCTCTTTCTGTCTCTCTTGTGAACCAGCGATTCCAACTCGGAACAAATATAATGTTTGTTTGTTTAAAATCAAAAAGCTTTCCCAAATGCGAGCGTCACCAAATGTTTAAGGCGGCTGAGAACTCTTACGTTTATTTTTATTGCAGGTATCCATGCTCGTGAATGGATTTCACCTGCGACCGTGACTTACATTTTGAATCAGCTTCTGACAAGTCAGGATCCCGCCATTAGGGACATCGCTGAGAATTACGACTGGTACATCTTCCCATCTTTCAACCCTGATGGCTACGAATACACCCACACCACGGTAAATGCAATTTTTGACGTACAACCCTATATTTGCAGCACACCGATATGATCTTATAATTCCTAAATTAACACACACATTATTTAACAATCTTTTAACAATGTGTAGGATACAAATAGTCCAGAAATAGTATCAGAAACGTACTATCAGAAGTTACATCTTGGAATAAGGATAGAATATACTAGTATATACGAACTGTTAGGCTTCGAAATCTGTGGGTTTCAATTATAATTAAAATTAAATTTCGGTCACTTTGTATTACCAGATTTGTTAAAAATATATACTTTACTTAAAAGAAATTACTAATTTTTGAAATATTCGGGTCTGAAATTTATATCACAGTATAATGGACATTATTATTATTATTATTATTATTATTATTATTATTATTATTATTATTATTATTATTATTTAGATGCGAATTAGCTTAATTCAACTGATGAACTTGCATTTTTAGTACGTTCTTCCGACCAAATTCTGCTGGTTCTAGTTTTCGTATAATTTTTTTAGTACAACAAAGACTTTGAATCGAACACTGGTATTATTAATATTTATAGTTTGTTGTAACATTACTTTCATTTACCGATAATTTCCGATCAATCCTTCAAACTCGATAGTTTTTCTAAGCACCATCATCTCTTGTGAATTATTGATAATTTATCGTCTGTTTTATAATTTGCGGAATTGGATAGTGAACGTGAAGACGAAATTTCAAGCATGTAACGAACAGCAAATCTCTATTTTTTTAAATTCGCATTTCAGTACCGTCTCTGGCGCAAGACCCGCTCCCGCTCTTCGTCTCTGTGCTACGGTGCCGATCCCAACCGCAACTGGGGCTTCCACTGGATGGGTAAGTGAGACGGAGGGTTTGGGTGTCGGCGTCCACTTTGCCCCTACGCAAGAGTGGACGTAGAAAAGTTACATTATGGTTGTGAATCTATACTTCAATTTCGAGAAAAGACGTAAAGAATATGAGCCAGGTGTTTTTCAGAACTAACATTCTTTTCTACAAGAATTGACGGTAATTGTATAAAAAAAGTTTTTTTAACACTCACGACATTAATAATACGTTATTTTAGACCATATCTTCATTGCTGATCGTATTTAGCTTTTTTCACTGAAGGATTAATTAATTTCTGTATTATTGTTTATTGTTTTTTCGATTATATTTAAATTAAAATATCTTGTGTTAGTATGTAATTTGCCCTGAGTGTCGGACGGCAATTTAAGTAATGACTTTCGAACATCTTTAGTCCTTTCAAATAGTTGCATGTAGCTTGAATTTCTTATTGACGTAATCAAGTATTATCATTATTACTTATGTTATGTCACATCTGATTTTAGATGGTGGTGCCAGCAGCTCTGCTTGCTCAGAAACCTATGCTGGATCTTCCGCCTTTTCTGAAATCGAGGCCAGAAGCCTGTCGCAGTACATTTCAACTATTGCCGACAAACTGAGTGTCTACCTGAGTTTCCACAGCTACAGCCAGTATCTGTTGATTCCTTATGGATTTTCCAACGCGCACATTTCTAACTACGATACCTTGGTAATATACGACCCATTAAGCACATTCTCTCTTTACTTACGTAACTGCATCTTTATCTCCCTTTTAATTTTGTTTCAGATGGACATCGGCAAGAAAGCTATCAACTCTCTTTCTCAGCGTTACGGAACCAAGTATGTTGTTGGAAATATCGTCGACGTCATCTGTAAGTTTTTTTCTTTTAGATTTTCTTATCTTATTCTTTTCGAGAATTGCTATTAACTAAATAAAATGTCATTGTATTTTTAATTCATTAACAATTTTTCCAATTCCTGATGTATTCTGCTTTTAAATTAATAGCATAAGCGTATTTGTCCACTGCTAAAAGTAAGACCATGCAATCATACGCAACGGGCTGCATTAGTTCAAAGCCAGCATTGCCGCTATTTCTGTAGCGGCTCTAATCAGGCGGTCCTGGCGTTCAAGTCTCAACGGTGGCGGAAGTTTCTATACTAGATTTATAATTCGGTGGAGTTCAGTCACTGTCTGTAGGAGAATTCCAGCGGTCGGCTGCTGTGATTGGTCGTTTTCGGTGTTTTTTTCTAATCAGTTGGGAGTTTTAGCGTAAGGTAGCAACGTTACGCTCTAACAGTCACGTGGCGGACCTCGAAGTCATACAGTCTTACCTCAGGCCTAAGGCCTTAAAGCCGCAAAAGGGCCACCTACAAAAAGGAATGGTTGCGTTTTTCCAAGAAAAAGTGATTCTCGTATGTGAGGCAGTTACAAGTAATTCTTACCAACATCCACAACTCTGGCAAGAATTAACGGAAAATGTGTGTTGGAACTGTGACAAGTACGAAATTCGCGAAAAAGAGGTTGAAATCATATTTTCGATTTAGGATATGTTTATGCTTTTAACGAACGCTGTTATTAGGCATTCCCTACATTGTCCAGAAAAGCCGATTCCCAGACGGAATACTCATCATGCAGGACCAGAATACTTAAAACGTCTTGTGCTAAGAAGATTTGTGTACTCTTGACTCGTATCGTGATTTAAATGTCTCACCACTAGCCTACACACTTTGACATATTACTCAACTTCATTGTTCAATACTTGAAATGGTTCTTTTGTTACAATGCATAACGCAATGTCGCAATTGATCAAACACACTTGAAAGTTGTTCCTTACAACTGTATAACGTCATTAGTCACGTGATCAACAGAGTTTAAATCAGTTTCCGTATGTCTAAAGCTCCCTAATACCAGGAAAATGCCAGAGCAGAACATTAACAAACGGATTACGGGCCGCATGCGAACTTTCTTTTCTCTCCTTTTCATATCGTCTTCTCTCTCTCTCTCTCTCTCTCTCTCTCTCTCTCTTGTACACACACGTCCTATAGTACCACACATGGCGGACGAACACTTAACCAGTCAGGATCTTAAGTCTTGTCCCGGCCAGGGCGGTGATACTTGGGGGAGAGATATAATTGAGATTAAATAACGCAGTGAACAACACATGCTAAAAGCGATATTTTAATTAAACCTCGAAACGGAAGAAGAATCTTATTCAGGTTCCTCTATATAGGTAGTGTATCTAGCAAATGATGTCCAGTTTCCCTTGATTTATTGAGCAAACGCATTTGCTTTACTTCGCAGGAACACTCCCAGACGTTATTGCTTTTTAATTAAACGGATAATAAATGAAACGCTTTTCTTGTTTACACGCCATCAACTACAACGCCGCGTGTTGTTTTTTTTTCAGATGTTGCGAGCGGAGGAAGCATGGACTGGGTGCGCGGCGAATACGGCACCCCCATCACTTACACGTACGAGCTGCGCGACACTGGCCGCAACGGCTTCGTGCTGCCGGCCGAACAGATCATCCCCACCGGCGAGGAGACGCTGGACTCCGTCCTCACCATCCTCCAGGAGGCGCGCAGCGTCATCTAAGCCCCCGCGCCCCCCTCCTTCCTCCGGCGCTTCACTCTGCTCCACGCTGCGTGAAGCCGCTGGCCCTGGCGACGCGACCATCTCAACGCCCACGGAAACCAACGTAGCTCGGCTAGAACGGCTGAGGACTTCACGAAGGTCTCGCTCATCACTTTTTTAAAACCAATAAAGAGTTTCAGTTTAATGGAGTATCTTCTCTGTGATATCCCGATTCACTATTCCACTTCCCGAAAACGGTAGTAAAAAGATATATACGTGTTGATTACTAGACATGTTATGAAAATGTTAGTACGTAAAGCACTATGTGTGTTTTCGATCCATTAAGGTTTATGTATGTTCCAGCATAACACTGGATTGCAAAGATCAATTTCAACTAAAATTTTGCACGAATATTTTTGAGTCGCTGCGAAAAAAATAGTGGGTTTGCGATTTAAAACGAATCCTCAAATTTTTGTGTAAGAAAATTCATTTATTGCAAACCCACAATGCATCGGTAAATTTAGGAATTCCATAACTACGATGTGGGGAGGGCGGGCGGGCGCGCGCGAATGGATTTCCCTCACCAGGTATCTCCACCAGCGGGAGCACCTTCCCATCAACGTCCTCAGTTCATTGGCCTGCGTAATTTTTTCTGTCCTCCCAGAACTGTATAAACAACCTATATTGTATTACATTACGACTTCATTTTTGCCCCGGCCGGAAATCGAACCCGGCACTGCCGCACAGAAAACTAGCAAGTTGACCTTGAGCCACCCGAGGGGCGAGTTATTTGTATTTGGGTTCAGCCGGATTATAAATTAATTTTCGATCATTCGCTCAATAAAACAAAAACAATGGCATTTAAAGGGAAAACTACTGTAAGAACAAAAATAGTCATAGAAGAAGAAATAATAGAGCAAGTAAAACACTTTAAGTATCTAGGATGCCACATTTCTTATGGAAAAGACGTTGACCTGGACATAAAATTAAACCATTTCCGAAACATATGTGGAACAATTCATAGGAATCGGAGAAACAAAACACGAAAAGACACTTGAGTACAGTTTTTCAATACTGTGACTGCCCATTTTAACATACGGAAATGAAGCTAGAGTACTGACAAACAGAGGTAAATTAAAAGTTCAGGCAGCAGAAATGACATTTATTCGAAGCATATTACGATATAAATTTTAGATAAAAAAATAAATAATGATCTAAGGGGAGAACTCGGGATAGAACCAGTGCTACACAAGCTGGTCAAAAATAACAAGAAATGGTGCGAACATCTAAGAAGAATGCCAAGCAGCAGTATTCCAGCTTTGGCAATGCAATGTCGACCAAAAGGAAAACGTGGCGTTGGAAGACCACGTGCTAAATGCGCCGGAACAGGTTGATTAACCTAATCCTTGATTAGAAGAAGAAGAAGAATTTTCGATCATTTTCAGATATTCTACAAATATTTTTTCTTTGGCTTCTTGAAATGCAAGGATTATTCTGTAAGATTTTATAAAGGTATTTTGTAAAGAAAATACATCGAGAACAGTTTATAAAATATAATTAAAATAATATAAACCATTTATTTTGAATGAAGAGACCTGTTGAAATTTAGACCCAGCCTAATTCAGGCGCGCCAAATCTTGACGCCGTATCTTCTGAGTACGAACTTTCGGTGCGAAACCAACAATAAAACGGTCGCTCGTATGGAGAACATTTGGAGCGCATTGAATTGAAATATTTACTTTGTCGTATTTGAAATATAATAAAGACATGTAGTGCTGAAAACATCGGGGTGGAGATTTTTACGAAAATATAGTTATTGAAATTCTCTGTGAATTCTCTGCCAGTCTGACCAAATGTTTTTAATTTCTTGCCCTTAAGAAGGTACTTTTTAAGAAGAAAACGTAACGTACTGCTGCGGGATAAAACGGCGAATTTCGACAAAAAAAACTCTTATTGCGAGGACGTGGCAACGAAAAAGTGGATAAATCCAGTTGCTAAAGATAGAAAAAAATACTCTAACACTCTAAATACATTTCCACCAAAATTGATATTTCCCAATTGATCTGGCTGATGACGCGGCCCCTTGAATTTGAAACCGATATTTTAATTTTAGGGTACTTTACATGCCGAGGGCAAACACCTAAGACATTTTGAACCTTTTCAAAAAATGGCTCCATCGTATTTCATTAAACCATGCTGTTGGATATTGTGAAGGGCATTTGAGAGAATGTTCAGGTTTCATTTTTGTTAAAAACTCTTATTTTTCGAAAATTACAAAAATTCAAAATTCACAACAACATTCACCATTGATTGGTGAATAAAAGAGGGTAGGGATTGTGGAGACCAACGCAACGAACGCAGATAAACTTCTTCCCTTAAAAACACATACCGTTTTTACGTTTTTTAATGTAATAAATTAAATTACATTAAATTAATTATATTCCCTTACTTATAAAACCATTACTTATCACCTTTCCTAAGATTCATAACATCTTAAAATACCCGAAAGTATCTCTTTCGAACGACACAGCATGAATCTTTAACTAGTATATTATGATTGGTCACGAGTTTGAGCGTGAATGAGTTCATATCTGAGAGCTTTGGTTTCTGTAGAGACGAGTTTATAAGTTGTCGCTTCCAAGATTATGCGTATTCAGGAATGACACGAAATATATAAACTCCTCCTTAACATATTCCGGGTGTACAGGAAGAATGAGAGCGTCGATTAAGTAAACAGTTCCAAATAGTTAAATGCATTCATATCTGAATCCGTCAGTCATACATGTGTTTCTAGTTTTAGTTTTCATGGTTCGTTAAATAAAAAATATTTAACATTCGTAAATAACCGCTGGTATTATACAAGTGGCTCTACAATGAAACATTAGAATACGTTACGGTTATGTAGCGTTTACAAATCACAATATCGCGACTTCTATTCTATTAACACACCGGCAAATGTGGCTCAGGGCATTAATGATGTCACTGCAGTATCTCTGACTAGGATGTTCTAGGATTCGAGTCCCGACAGTGGCTGGATTTTCTACATAAGCTATATTGATAGGTCGAGTTCAGCCGCTGTCTGACGGTCTAGCGGTCGACGGCTCTGATCTGTAATTTTCTATGGATTCTGTTATGGTCGAACGCACTCCATTAAAGGTGCCGCCGGAAAGTGGTTCCGGCGCCGACCAAGAGAGGGCACCGATTACCAGCGCCGTAGCTCCGTCACGCTCGGCCAGGTCCAGGAGCCACAGAACTCACCCTTATCGGGCAGCTGGCCGGCGGACCTTTCTGCCCTAGCGGGCTATAAAAGCGGTGCCCGGCGAAGTGGCCGACACAGTGTATGAAGTGCCGGCCTGCAGTGAGTTATAGTGTCTTGTGAAACGTATTGCGGAACAGGTTACGAACTCGGACTTATCCAACGGTTATTCAGTGAACATTGCTACGTCTTCGGTACATCTATTGGAACATTGTTAGACCTGGCCTTTGTTATTGGTGAATATCTTGTTGGTATATGGAAATAAAAGCATTTTTAGAAATCAGTTCTATTTTTGGATATAACAGATTCTTCGATCAACACCCGTCGAATGCCGCGAGCCACCGACCTCGTGCGAACTTCCCTTCACATTCCTTGTCCTATCATAACCCCCTACTTACACTGCACAACACGACAACACTTGCCAAAGACCAGTCGTGAGCATAGAGCTTGCCCGGCTGGAGAGGTGCCACGCCGATGGGAGGTACCTGGTTGGGGAAAATCCCCGTAAGCTGACAGGTACGTCAGAGTTGGATCTCGTCATCCAACAAGGGACGATCACCGGCACCTCCCGCAATAATGACCTTAGCGGTTGACGCGCCCGGAATCACGAGTCTATCAATCAAGTCTACTATCATATCAGCAATAAGGGTAACTATGTCAGCAATAAGGGCAAGAAGTGACCATTGTTTCATTAGAGAATTTCGCAAAATTTTAAAATTCAGTCTAACAACAACAGCAAATACTTTCTCACATTATTTGAACCTTTTGCTGATTCTAAGAGTTTAGAACCTTCAAAAAAAATAACCACTGCGTCATATACTTAAGCGTCCTTTGCTATTTACAAGAAACAATTAAAGACAAATTTATCGAAAAAATGTAAAGATTGTGGTCAACTCAGGAGTTCCTAATATTTTTTAAGTTATTTCCATAAAAAACTAGGGGTGCTAAAAAAGAACGACCTTCCTCGCCCGTATTACGAGAAAAGTATTCAAATTTGCGCAAAATTGTGCATGGCCTTGTCTATCTTTAAGGAACAGGTGTAATTAAAGGAAACATTTCTTGTCTTTAATTTTTTTGCAGTAGGAAGACGTCAAAATGTTTGAATTTTTTCAATTTTCGAAAAATTAGTTTTTAAAGAAAATGTGATCTGCACCATTCTCTTAAACGTTTTTCACACAACTTAACAATAAAATTTAATAAAAAACCTTGAAGACATTTTTTTAAAATTATACCCCCAAAACTAAAATGTCAATTTCTAATTTAAGAGGCGGTGACATCAGTCAGATCGATTGGGGTATATCAATTTTTGGAATAAATCGGTTGAACGGTTTAGCCGCTACCGTTGTTCACAGACGGACGGATAGCCAGCCGGACGGACGGACGGACGGACGGACGGACGGACGGACGGACGGACGGACGGACGGACGGACGGACGGAAGTTTGGCCGTCAATGGATTTTTTGGTGGACGTGGGTTCTGGCTACACAAAACATGGATTCTGGCTACACAACGTGTTATAGGATTTTTTTTCTAAATTTAGCAACTTGGATTTATCCATTTTTTTCTTGGCCCTGTAATAAAGTTTTTTTCTGCTGAAAATTCGCAATTTTTTGAGCAGCATTGCATAATCTTCTCTCTACCCCGTAGCGAGAAAGTAAAAACGAGAATACTGCAATTTTTTCTTCAAAAATTGTACTAAATTTTATTTAAAGATCTAAGTTCTCACCTTATTCTGTACCTAGTAAAGAGAAAGTATTGAAAGGCTG